CTGGGATGAGCACTGGGATGAGCACTGGGATGAGCACTGGGATGAGCACTGGGAGCACTGGGGGCTCCCAGTTGGACGCCGAGGCCGACCGGAGGGGTGAGAGTGGCAGCGAGAGCAGCCATGCGTCCGAACCCTCGCCCTCCGACTCGCCATTTCGGGCCTTCCCAAGCGGTCCGGACACCTCTGGGATCAGATCCCCGGCTCCAGACGACAACAAGCCGGAGCTGCTGGAGCCCCGATTGGCTCTGGAGCCCCGATTGGCGGTGAAGCGAGAGGAGGCGGAGCTTCCGGCGTGCGTCAAAGAAGAGGCGCCCCACGGAGCGCCGTTCCGGCTGACCGGAGACGGAGGTGAAGCAGGCGAATCCCGACTGGGCTCCGCTAGGGGTGGGACGGTTCACAAAATCCACGGTTCTGTTCGATTCAGGGTTTTCGGTTCGGTTCAGTATATGTTGATTGTTAGGAAAATCTATTATGTCTTGTATAGTCAGGTTAAAACTGAAAGAAAAAAGCAGTCTGACATTTGATACATTATTGTGACAGTCTTAGGTTAAAAATAGGTGAGATTCTGGCATTGCAAGAGAGGAAACAGTGCTAATTCCAACATGTGCTTCCCTCTAAATGCAAAGTGGTCCTATACAGCAGACCTATAAAGTCGGATTTTTATCAGCTACGCTGCTTCGCTTCTTCTTCTTGTTCACTACTGGTGGTTGGCTTTGGGCGCAGTAGCTCCACCTTCTGCTCTGGAGTGAACACGCTTCGCTATGAGAAAAAGGAGCAGCGCATGAACCGAACGCAACACACGCGAATCGAACCGAGACAGTCGAACCGAACGGTTCGGACGGTTTTCGGAAACCGTCCCATCCCTAGGCTCCGCCCACGGAGGCGGGAACGCCGCCCCCCCTTACAGCTGTGTTTGTGTCCCCTGCAGCTCCGGGTGGCGGCGCCATGGCGGGCGACCCACAGCCCCCGTTCAGCGTCCATGTGGCCCCCCTGCTGGGCCCGGCCGGGCCCCCCCCGCAGGACCCAGAGGCAGCACAACTGCAACGTGTGTGGGAAGAACTTCTCCTCGGCCAGCGCCCTGCAGATCCACGAGCGCACGCACACGGGGGAGAAGCCCTTCGTCTGCTCCGTCTGTGGCCGGGCTTTCACCACCAAAGGCAACCTGAAGGTGCCCCCTCCACGTTTTTTTACATTAAAAAAGCATTAAAAGCTGAGATTTCTGAGCTCTTTGAACACAATGATGATTTCCCTTCATCTACAGACCTATTTTACAGTAAAAAAGCAGTAAAAGCTGAGATTTCTGAGCTCTTTGAACACAATAATGATTTCCCTTCATCTACAGACCTATTTTACGAACTCTGAATTCTCCTTTTCCATCACAAAAGTCACATAGAAGCTCTAATTGATCACATTGGATTACTAATCTGAGACCATTCAATCTTCTCAGTTAGATTTCTCTATAATTATGTAAACAATCGCCAAAATATCACAAATTAGTCTGAGCATCAGTGTGTTTTATGGGTGATAAAAAGAGGTTCTGCTTTGGACTGTTTAACTTGTACACTGAGGGGAAACGGCAATAAAAAAGATAAGAATCGAAACAAAAAAATGGAAAATGTTAAGACTAAACCAGAAGACTAAACTAAACTGCTGGCGGTATTTCAGGTTTTCCCCTTCTCATTTCCGGTTCTAATGTGAGGACGCTGCGTTTCTGCCTCTCTGTACCAGGATTCTTCTTTTCTCCTTGACCTTTGACCTCTTGGTCTCATAGCAGATGCTATCAGACACTACTGTTTAAAATATAAAGAAAAACGCTTTTAGACATTTTACATGTGACCTGAGAAAGGAGAGGATACTGTGTGGGATCCATTTAAATGGAAGAACATCTGTGTGGGGAATTCTTTAGAAAATCACTGAAAAACCAGCTTTTTAGGTCTTTAGATGAAGGAAAATCATTGTTGTGCTCAAAGAAGTCAGAGATCTCAGCTTTTAGTGCTTTACTGTTTGAAATCTAAAGGAAAATGCTTTTAGACATTTTACACCAATCATGTTCTTATTGTGGAATTAAAATGTTGTAAATAAGTCATTTGGAACTCGGAACTAAATAGCAACACAAATAGCAAAACATTTAATTAAATCTGTAAACAGACATTTTAATTCTAAAGATAAACTCACTGAGCCTCTATGAATAAAAATTACCTGCACCAGGATAAAGTCTAGTTATTAAACTTATCAGCTCCTCCTGATCCAGAGATCTGGAACTAAGCAGAAACCAGATAAAAGCTTTTGGCTCTCAGGAAGTTAAAGATGCTTCAGGTGGACCTGTCCTCTACTGAGCTCCTCACTGAGCTTCCTGTGCTAACTCTCCCTCTCAGGTGCATATGGGGACTCACATGTGGAGCAACGCGCCTGCCAGGAGGGGCCGGCGGCTGTCGGTGGAGAACCCCATGGCCCTGCTGGGTGGCGAGGCCCTGAAGTTTGGGGAGATCCTCCAGAAGGACCTGGCGGCCCGGGCCATGAACGTGGACCCCGGGTTCTGGAGCCGCTACGCCACGGCCATCACCAACAGCCTGGCCATGAAGAACAACGAGATCTCGGTGATCCAGAACCGAGGCATCGCTCAGCTCCACCCGCTGACGGCGAGCATGGACAGAATGGGCGCCGCCGGGCCGCTGACCGGCCTCACCAAGGCCGCCATGGACCTGGGGGGCAACAGACACTTTTCTATGCTTATCGACGATGGCAAAGAAATCGGAATCAACTGAAAAAAAAAGACAATGTTGAATTGATTCTTATGCAAATAGTTTTGGACATTAAAATATTTGTAAATCGTCTTGTTTGTTCTTATATATAGGCCTAAAAAAAAAACTTTTTATCAGTGGATAGAAAACGGCCATAGTAGCCGATTGTGGACGTTTTCTAACAATTGGGGAGCTTAAATTCCTGGAAAGTCCTCTGGAGCTCACTGTCTGTGCATCAGCAGAAGGGAACATACGCTCACATCAATAATGCAGAGTCTGCTGCTCCTCTGCACAGCTGTCCGCTGCTGCTGGTTTAAAGCCCTCAGTGATCGCACACCCCCAGAACCAACTGCTGTCAGGCTGAATAAAAACGGGAACGCGTTGCCTGAACGCTCAGTTTTATACCTCATATTCCGCTGTAACATCCCCCTCAAATCGGCACGCCCTTTATTTTGTGCTTTTAGTGCATCTTCCAGAACAAATACAATACAGAAATTTGTGCAGGACTATTAAGAACTCCTTTTATTGCCTGCAGAGTTTCATAAAGATAATAAATACGTGCATTCATTCATTGGAAGTTACAAGTATGAATAAACTTTACAACATTAACACAGAATTTGTGCAATTTTAGAGGTTAAATGTCTTTCTAGCCACATAGGCACTTTCAACTCTTTAGTGTTTTACAAACTTTTTCCTTATATTCTTTTTTTTACAGTAAAGCTTCCGTGTTTCCGTATTTTAATGCACTTGATTATGTTTTCAATTAAATATATAAAGAAATGAAGATGTTTATATCACCGTGAAGTGTGCAGTAAATATTAGGAATGTGACTTGTTTCCATCCAATCTCCAAATTAGTTTTAATCGCACATTTTCAATCAGAGGCACGTTATTTCTCACAGCTGGGTTCGTGATAGATTTAATGTTTTCGTTCTTTAATTAAATCAAAATACTCACACTGTGGACAACTTGAAATCCAAAGCATGTTTACCTTTGGTTTAGAAACGTTGCACGTGCTCAAAACTCAATCCCGATCAATTTAACACAACGACCACAATAAAGTCATGTGTCCCCTTCATGGATATGGAAAATTCTACAACTGTCAACGGTGCGGCCTATAAGTTTGAAAAAAACAAAAACAAAACTTTAATTTTGACTTTGAAATAATTAAAGAAATACATTTAAACCAGAAATGGTAGTTTTAAAGGTTATTTTTCACTTACACTCTACGCATTATAACTTAAAACAGCAACCAAAACTTCAGTTTTCAAAAGTTTGGAGTTTGGAGTTACACATGAACGCGACACGGACCTTCAACCGTCGCTTCGTGACGTCAGGACGCGACTGCCCAGCCAAGATGGCTGACAGCATCCCGTTAAATCCGATGCGGAAGAACTCGAAGAGAATCCCGTATTACAACTCCTCCAGACTTTCAAGGTACGAGTGGGCCGACGTGGAGGTTTTTTGGGCCGGTGCGGGGAAGGAACAACCTTTTCCTGGGCATTTTCTAACCCGGCCGCCTCCTTTCTTCCGGGGTCTGCGCGCGCGGGTTATGGCTGTTAGCTTGTGTTGCTAGCTCTGCCGTTGACAGCTCCTCCGCATTCCTCCTCTGACAGCAGCATGCTCAGCTCCTGTCAGCACCAGTAGAGCTACAAACATACACATTCACTGTCCTCTCACTTTTTTGTGTCACATCACCACTTTTGTAACGTCAGCGCTTGATGGCGACCGTTGTGTTTGGACTTCTGCTCTAAGTGGCGTTTTGTTACCGGTCACATGATGATTTCTGTGTTGGTGACTTGTTGTAGAACAGCTGTTTTCAGTCTGAAGTCATCATTTACCAGCTTGTTTATTTTTCAGACTGGACCAGGATGAGCTAATAAAGCCCTCAGGGTGAGGAATGGACAAGAATAGGCGCATAAACAGGTACATGTAGATAAGATAGAGTCCCTTTAAAAGTGGGTTTTCATTGAAACATTAGGCTTCTTTGGACTATCCTCAGTAATGAGTGTCGTGTGGGTTTTGTGGGTGTGTAAAAGGGAAATGCTTTCATGCTCTGGTCCTGAAATAGCAGGGGAATCACTGGTGAAACTTCTCTGACTGTGAAGTCAGCTGCTGGCTTCTGTGTCATAATGCAGAGCCAGAAAAGGGCTGTAAACAGCCTCCTACTGCATGAAGCCTGGCCCTGTTATGTAACCAGAAGTGGGTGTGATAGTCCTACAAACTGTGGATTAGAGTGGGTTTTCTTGGCAGCATACATTGTTTTGTCAAAACATAACATAAAATAGACATTAAAACGTCTACTTCCTCTCAAATCCAAGGTTTTAATGATGAGAAAATGGCTTCCTGAAATGAGTTAAATCCAGCTGAACGGTGGTTCCTAAATGAACCTCATTTCCTCTAACTAGCGGCAGCACAGTAATCATCTTCCATCCTTCACATGATGGAACTCAGCCTTCAGCTCGTATTCACTGTCTCAGAAAAGCTGATTCAGATTGTTTAATTTGCTGGTTGAAGCCGTTTCCTTTTTCCTGATGGAGCTGTTTGTGTTATTGCTGCTGAACAAGTCAGAAACTCAGAGGCTGAGCTTGTTTATTCAAGCAGCTGAAACAGGAGCTTCTAATGGACTGTTGGATCCTTTCAGGCCCCTAAAAGCCTCCAGAGAGCTCAGATCAGGTCTGCTTGCTTTGGTTTTTAACAGAGGAAGCAGCAGGAGACACAGCTGGCCGGAGTTAGATGAGCTGAGGTTTCTGCTGCAGCCAAACCTGCACAGAGTGTTTCTGCCCCTCTGAGCTGCAGCCTGACAGATGTGCTGCTAAACAGCTGTTTCCTGCAGCTGTGAGCGGCCATGTTGGATCCTGAGGACAGCTGAGGGTCCTCTGATGCTTAGATCCAGAGATTTGGGGGGTGTTTTGCTTCCTGTTTCCATCTTCTTGGTCCAAATGAGTCCCACTTTGTCCTAGATTGAGTCTTAATCTAAAGGTTCTCTCAGAGTTTGAGCCAAAAGGAGGCTGTTTTTCAGATTTAAACTGAGTTTCTATCCAAGTTTAAGGCTGGTTTTCTGTTTTAAACTGAGTTTCTCTGTGAGTTTGAGTCAAAACGAGGCAGTTTTTCTGTCTCGGACTGAATTTCTCTGTGAGTGTGAGCCAAAACGAGGCAGTTTTCTGCATTTAAACTCAGTTTCTCTGTGACTTTTTTACTCAAACTGAGAGCTTTAATGAGAAATTAAAAGGGCAGTATTCACTTTTAGCTGCTTTCTAAACAGCCTTAAACTTTCAGATTGACGGCAGCAGCTGAAACTCACATCATTCTGAGACAAAGCTTGAATAACTCGTTTGTGGCTTCCAGGGCTTAGAAAAATAAACTTAGTTTATGATGGCATTATAGAGGTTCTGGTGAAGCTTGAAGTCAGTTCTTCTCCCTAATCCAACGTTTCCTCTGGCTCTCCGTCTGTTCCAGGTTCTCTTTGGAAGATGAGTCGTCCAACTTGGACGAGATGCCTCTGATGATGTCGGAGGAAGCCTTCGAGAATGACGAGAGCGACTACCAGACACTGCCCCGGGCCAGAGTGGGTCAGAGACAGAGGGGCCTCTGCTGGTTCCTATCGGGGGGCTGGAAGGTCCTCTGCAGCAGGTACGCCCAGCCCTCTGACCCCCCCCCCAGTGTGAAATTGGCTTTAAAAGTAATAAAAAAGATGCTTAAAAAGCCCCATCTGAGGAGCAGGTTTAAACTTGATCACAGGAAACGGGGCCCGAGGTCCAAAAGTATGAGCATTTATCAGAGATGCATCATATAAAACTAGTTTTGTCAAAAATATATGCATTTAAGCACAGACTTTTTTCAACAGTAAAATAGATAAATGTTAAAAGCTCTAGAGCACAGCTGGTTAGGGGATCTAACCAAATATGAACGAGGTGTTTTAAAGGTGGGAAGTCTGGAAAAGTCGCTCCAGATGTTAGGATATGGATGGAAATGATGTCAGAAGTGGCATCAACTGAACGCATGTTGGCTTCTCAGAGAGCCTGGGAACACGTTTTTTGGTAGATTAGAGTGAAAGTTGGTGCTAAATGTAAATATCTGTTGTATGTTTAATAAAAGAAAAAGGAAAAAGGCTGATGTGAAGGAGGCCGTTGGGCATGTACGCTGGATACACGTCCCTGTTGTTACTGTTGTTGGTGTTTATGTGTGCATGAATAAATAAAAACTTGAATTCCCTTCACAAACCACCTCCAGGCCTGTGGTTGTCTTGTGGGCAGGGCCTGTGAGGACCCAGCGGTTCTGCCTCGGTTTCCGTCTTCAGGTCTGAAATGTCCAAACCAGAGAGAGCCGTTCTTGTTCTCTCCACCTGGAGGAAACGGAACAACTTCCTCCATTTTTTTTACAGAGTATCAAACAACTTTAAGGCCTAAAAACAAAGTGTCGGTGGGTAAAAACTGGAGCAGCTTCTGGAGGACTTGGTTTCTGTTTGTGGTCAGCCTCCTCTGGATATCAAACCGAGCCCCTGAGCAGCCCCGACCCCTCAGAGGACACTCCAGAGATGCTCCTCAACACAAACTAGTGCAGGTTTTCTGTCCTCGGCGCTACTGCTCCTTCTGCCCATCGGTCCCCTCCCCCGCCGACCGGCAAATCGGATTCTTCACAGCTGACCAGTTTGATGCTTTCCAGTAATTTTCTGTGTGCATAGTGTGGGATTATAGAAGGCAAATAGTTCGCAGTGCATAAGCTCCGACTGTTCAAACGGCCTATTATTTGGGTAGCATTCATTTGCTCAAATAATCGCTCTTATGAATCTGGACCGGCGGCGCTCGGCGGCAGAGGACACGGGCGCCAACGCAAACAAGACGTTTCACCAGAGTTCATTTATTTAGCTTCCCGTTTTGCCAACTTGCTTAAAAAGTGGAAAAGCCAAGTCGCTCAGCATGACGGTGTACACTGCCCCCCCCACCCCCGTCCCCAGGTGCCAGCTCAGGTCACGCTGGCATCCGGCGGCTCGCATTGAAATGAGGCCCGCAGTGTTTGCCTTTGATAGCAGATATGAGAGTCGTTAGCAGGTGGAGACAAAGTCACTCACTTTTTCAAAAGGCAGCCCACACTCTGGGTTTGGACTCTGCAAAGTTTCCTGGAGCAGTAAATGAGACTTTTATCAGAGGAAAAACAAGCCCGAGGAGTTCTTTATCCTTTTCTTTTTTTATAGAGTACAACAAGCTTTGTTTCCCTTTTTTCTCCTAACTGATCCAATCGATTGTTAGACATAAAAATGCCCAAAAATAACCCAATCAAACTGAAAAATCTGACAAAGTAAAAACACATTCCTGTGAAAATGCTCAGCTACGAGGACTGAAAATGACAGAAAAAGCAGGATAGCTCTGAAAACTGCAGGAAGCTGCAGAAATTCCTTTTTTTTTTTTTTAGCTAACAGCTCTTTGGGAATCAGCCTGCAATGTCATCTGGTTCAAGGTTTCCTTTGGGCCCCCACAGCTCACCGTTTGCCCCCTTTCTGCCCCCAGCTGCTGCGACTGCCTGGCTCACGTCTGCCGCAGGAAGAAGGAGCTGAAGGCCAGAACCGTTTGGCTCGGCCGCCCAGAGAAGTGCGAGGAGAAGTACCCCAAAAACGCCATCAAAAACCAGAAGTACAACATCCTCACCTTTGTGCCTGGGGTGAGTTGGGATGCAGCGGGGGGGAGAAACCACACAGATGTCATCAGGAAAGCCTGATTTAGCTGAGCTAAGCGGCCCAGAGGCTCCCTAAACTTTAGATTTCAGTGGAATTGGAGCAGATCTGACCCGAGCCAGCTCTCCAGCTCTGTTAGGAGCCGGTTCCAGATCAGGGAGGCAGCACCCAGAGCTGGAATCTGAGCTCTGAGAGCAGCCATATTTGTTCTTCCCGCCCCTCTTAAGTAAAGCTGTGTTTGTGTGTAACGCGCACCGCGTCTTAACTGCTGACTTCTGTGTCATTAAGGGGAAGGTTTCCTCTGCAGGGAACATGAAATCCATCAGAGTTACTTATTAAAAAGCAAATGGCTCCATGATTAAAGGGGCTCAGCCCATTAAATGTCAACTGTCTGTTAGAGACGCAGATATTCCCACTGATGCCGAACCAAACGGCTCCATTTTTCTCCTCCACCTTGAATTATTAAATGCACACAAATTGAGTTTAGCAGGATGCATTTTTCCCTAAAGGTCGAGGGGGTTCATTAACTGAGGAGTGTCGCCATTGATCCTTTTGTCTCTGGTAATCAGTGGCCAGGCGCCGCACTCTCATTATTGCAAACATTAGTCAAAATCTGACCTTAGATGAGCAGAACTGTAGCGTCTCCAGCTGATGGATGGCTCATGAGGGGGGGCTCTGTCGGCACATGGGCTCAAACTTTTGATGGTGATAAGTTAAAATAAATTAGATTAAAGAAAAAAGAAGAAAATTAATTCAAATAGTTCATGTAAAAAGATAAAATGAAGCTGATAAACAGATATAAATACATATGAAATAAAGTTTGAAAAATGTTGAAAGTAAAAAATAACGTAAAAAAGGATAATAAAAAAAATAGATTTAAGTTGATTAACATGCAACATTGTAAAAATAGAATAATAGAATAGAAAAAATAAATAGGTTAAATACGAGAAAATAAATAGATTAACAGAATTTAAAGCAAAGGTGAAACAAAATGGGGCAAAGTTCCAAACTTAGAAAAATGCAATAATGAGAAACAGCAGGTTGTGCCTGCTATGATGCTTCATCAGGGGCTCAAACTTTGGGGTTTGCTCCTAAAATGTGGGCGCTTACTTTTGGAACTGTTCATATTCCCAGCTGACTCAGAGTTTGTCCTCTTTCTTTCCTCTCTTTCAGGTTCTCTACCAGCAGTTCAAGTTCTTCCTGAATCTGTATTTCCTGGTGGTGGCCTGCTCCCAGTTCGTGCCATCTCTGAAAATAGGATATCTGTACACATACTGGGCCCCGCTGGTAATTAAGCTCAGGCTTCACTCTGCCAGCCTCCTCTGTCGCATCGTTAGCCCACAACTCACTGCTGGGAGATGTTTTTGAGCCAGCCGACAGTCTCTGGTTCTGGTTTGGCAAAATTTGGGGTTTTGGATTGGGAGTAAAAAGCCTAAAAATCCAGATTTAAACCCTCTCAAAGCAGCTGTGTCTCCTTTCTGTAAGCCATAAGAAGCCACAGTGACACAGGGGCAACAGCCTGTTTAAACAAATCTGTTGAAGTGGCCAATAAAACAGATCTGTGACATTTTGGTACCTGATCCTTTCATTTGGTACCTGAAAATATTTGTTTCTAAATGTGATGAATGGGGTTAGTTTGGTCGGTTTTTCTTTTCCCTCTAATTTCCCTTTAGGGAATCTGAGTCTTTAGGAGCAGCTATCCAGGCTGCTTTGGCTGCCTTTGCTAAGTTGTCTGGCTCATCCCTTGAGTTAGGAGCCTTTTTTCCTGCCTGAAATATCTTTAGAGATCAGTTCTACCTGAACCAGGTGTGTATAAGCAGGGAACCCTCTAAAACCTGCAGACCGACAGCCCAAAAAGACCCCCTTGAGACCGTATGAGACCCCACGAGGCCCAAAGAGGCCCCATAAGACCCAAATAGGCCCAAAAGAGTTGGTTTTCACTGCTGGGCTTGTTGCCCCGCTGACGGCTGTAGGTGGGTGACTCTCTTCTGACTTAAGGGCTGCGTCTGACCTGCTTCCTGTCTCAGGGTTTCGTGCTGGCTGTGACGATGGTGCGAGAGGCGGTGGACGAGGCCCGGCGCTACCAGCGGGACACGGAGATGAACTCCCAGCTCTACAGCAAGCTGACGCTGCGAGGTGAGGGCTCCGCCTCCTACTTGCTGGGTTTAAACTGAAGTCTGAGGCACTCTGAGCTGCTTCTGCCACAGCAGCTGCCCCCAGGGGGTTCGGCCCGTTTCAGGAGAAATCAAATAAATCAATCTGAGAATCTTATCTCACATAACTGATTTTATCCTATTGATTTAAGGTTGTTTTTTGTTTTTCTCTCTGTCTGCTTTTCAGGTAAAATTCAAGTAAAGAGTTCAGACATTCAGGTTGGAGACATGATCATAGTGGAGAAGGTAAACATGTCCAGACTCACTTTGGGATTTTTGTTTGTTCATGGAAAGCATCTTATCAGATTTTTAACATCATACTACAAATATTTAAGTTGTTTTCAGGGGTTTGGGCTTAAATTATGTTGATGTTTTAGGCTCCAGAGGGTCAGATGCTGAGTTATTGTTTCCTTTGACCAACCTTAGAGGAGGTGGATCATCCCAGCTCAACGTTTCCCTTTTTGAGTGTTTTAATGAGGTCATGAAGCTGTAAAAAAGCTGCTAAAAATTATTTAATGTAAATATCAGGGCTGATTAATCCTGTAAAAAAAAGCTTTTTAAAAAATCCAGAAAGTCAATAAGGTCCATAAGTATAATTAAAAAAAACAAATAATTAAAAAAAGGTTAAATCAAGTAAAGTAAATAGGGTAAAAGAACAAAAGAGAAATAAAGACAAATTAAAGCAAAGGTGAAATAAATTAGGTAAATACCAAACATCTCTAGAAAATGCATCAATAGCTTGTTCTCTCGTTATATAGCAGACAAACAGCAGGTTATCTGTTATGATGCATCATCAGGAGCTCAGAAGCTCCAGAAAAGAGCAGAAATCACAGAGCTCTGACTCTCCTGTTTGGTCCCGTTTGCAGAACCAGAGGATTCCTGCCGACCTGATCTTCCTCAGGACGTCAGAGAAAAACGGTGAGCGCGTCATGTGACACCCCCCCCCCCC